GACACGGCCGGTGCGGGTTTCAGTGTCCCTGCACGCACGGTGACACGGCCGGCGCGGGTTTCAGTGTCCCCTGCACGACACCCGTGTACGAGGCACGGCCAAAGGGATGCAGGATGAATCCCTGTAATTCCGGGTTTTGACCTGCGAGTTGGGACTGTCACGCTGTAAAAGGAAGTTTGGGACTGTCACGCTGTAAAAGGAAGCTGTGTAAGGGAAGCCCCTCTGTGCTTTCCTGCCTCTGCTGCAGGACAGAAGGCAGCGTGTGCTCCCTGAGTTTTCTAACATCATGCAAACATAGATTAATTTGGTTTGGAAGGAACCACTGGAGATCATCCAGTCCAACCCTCCAAGGCAGGGTCAGCTGGAGCAGGAATGAATCCAGGTGGATTTGGAATGCCTCCATGACCTCTCTAGGCAGCCTGTCCCAGTGCTCTGCCATCCTCAACATAAAATTCTTCCTTCTGTTGAGGTAGAACTTGGTATGGTTTAGTTTCTGACCATTGCTCCTCATCTTGGTGCTGGGCACCACTGAAGAGAGGTTGGCACCATCCTGTTGGCACCCACCCTGGTGACATTTATCTGTCAGCCTTCTCCAGGACACAGGTGCCACTCACACCATGCCCTCTTCTGTGGTGATACAGCTTTACTTAGTGATGTTAAGGTGACTGCAATGGTATTTTGAACTTGCATTACTTACCCTGATCAGACAGTGCTTGCTTCTGTTTCTAGGTGATGTGGCCAAGCCTGCAGAGGAGGTGTTTTCAGCCACTGTAAGAAAAATAATTGCAATCTGGTTTGAAAGTTGAACAAAAACGCTGAGAACCCATGGTCAGGTAGACTGTAGGATCTAACCTGAAAGAGTTAAGTGGGCAGGTCTGTGTTTTGAATGACTGACTAAGAAGTGTCTCTTTCCACAGGACTACAAGGGCCAAAAATTAGCAGAACAGATTTTTCAAGGAATCATTCTTGTCTCTGCAGTAAGTATAGTAGGCCTGTGGGTGAGAACATGAAGGACTATTTTTATTTTCTGATCTTATAAATATTTTTCTTATTGTTTGGGGTCACTAAAAACTTTAAACAAAGAGGGGCTGACATGGATTAAAACTTTCTGCTTCCCATCTTTTACTTTCATTGTTGGCCTGCACTTTTAAAAAGGTTTGAAAGATGTACATGCTTTTGAAAAACCTGTATTTTCCTACCTAAATCTACCCCCTGCCTCTTAATCATATCATGGGAAAAGTCTTTCTTTATTTAAAGTTTGAATTTTTTTAATGTTTGTTTTTCCAGGTAATTGGTTTCATCTATGGATACATCACTGAACAGTTTGGATGGACTGTCTACATAGTTATGGCTGGATTTGCTTTATCATGTTTGGTAAGAATATTTTCCCCCAAACCAAAAAACACATGCACTGTTTAATCAGGAATAATTGCTAAATTGAGGGGCTGTCAGACTAATGTATGCTATGCAATTCAGATTTATAAATATTGTGCTTCCTTTGATCTGCATAAAATGCTTTGCAGCCCATTAAGTGCTTTTTTTTTAAATGCTAGCAGAGTTTTTGCAATTTAACACCACTTTTGAGTTCATTTTTCATTTCAGTTAAAAGTCAGAGTTAAGTCCAGCTGACAGCATTAGTAACAGAAAGGATAGGGAGGCTTTCTGTGCAGTAGCAGCTTGGCATGATAATTTTGCAGCTGTCCCCTGCTGCCTGAGGAAACAATATGGAATTTCAGGAGTAATTACTTAACTATACATGAGAGGTGTCCCATTCCTATTGGGGCACTCCCAATAGTAAAATAGTAAATAACAGTAAAACCAATCTGGTTTTACTTGTGGTTCTTACACCTCTCAAGAGCTCAGATACAGCACAATTTGACCAATCACTACTCAGGACACCCACAGACTCCACTGTTTTGAAAAGCCCCTGTAATTCTCTGGCATCATCATCATCCATCTGCTCCTTACTTACTTAAACATCCCTGTGTTACTTACCTGAGATGCCACAAGAGGGGAGGGTCTCAGTGCACGTGGGAGCTTCTGGGAATGCTGGTGTCACCTCAGGAGTCCTTTTTACCTCAGGGTGGGTACTGTCCTTCTCCTTGCAACAACCTGGGGTGCTTTAGTCACATACTTAAGTGTGACTTTGCAATGTAAACTGTAAATGTACATGAAACTGCAAGAGTTTTTTAAGGACTAATAGATAATGAGTTAGAGATGAAGATTTTCCTCAGGAGCTGTACAGAGCAGCCCCTGAGCACCCCGTGTCCCTGTTGTGACTGCCTCCTCTGCCCTCAGCTGACGCTGCCCCCGTGGCCCATGTACCGCCGCAATCCCCTCAAGTGGCTGCCGGTCCAGGAGTCGGGCACGGAAGAGAAGAAGGCAGCAGACAGGAAACCAAAGAGACATTCCAAAACCTAAAAATGATGGTGTCCAGGCTGTTACTTTGTTAAGTTTTGTTAAATTAATTTTCATTGAGAAATACTTCTTGGCTTAGTGTTTGGGTTTTTTCTTAGTGCTTTGTATCCATCCATGGGTACAACCAAGCTCTGCCGGGAGCACGAAGGCTGGAAATTGGGGCTGGAGGTTCAGGGGAGGCTCTGGGAACAAAACTATGGGGGGGATTAACTTCAGAAGGCTACTGGAGGTCACATCTTGAGTATTTCACGAAAAAGGAACACAGTGAATAAAATGAATTCTAGTTAAGCTGTTGCCATAGCCTAAAAGATTAATAAACAGCTGAACTTCTACTGTAATGTTTCTAACTGTGTGTAAAGCAAGTTGTCAGTAGTGCCAGGTTGTAATAAATACTGTGAAAAGGTATATACCCCACAGTTCTGAAAATAACTGTTCCAGGATTGGAGGATACAGAGAGCCAGTTTTTGTTTAAAATAAATTTCCCTGGGAAGAACAAGTAAGAATTGCTCTTGAAACATTGTAACTTGAGCTTGTAGTGTGTGTGCAGGATCCATAGGTATGGCTCATGTCAGTAAGCTCCCTCACAGCTGCTGGAGGTTACAGTATTTCAGCTACAGGCAGGAAGAGACAGGTTTATAATTTTATTTTACAAATCCATTTCCATTTGACTTCTTTATTATTTAAAAAACATGTGCTTTTCCTGCAGGTATGGTACACAACAAAGCCTGGGGGCTGTAGTGAGACACACTGGATTCAAACAAAAAGAAATAAGTGTTTTATCTTTTCCCTAAGAGATTCTGCTCTTGGGCACTTACATTCCTAAAAGGTATTTGTAAGGCAAAGGGATTTCTCCAACTGGAACCATGGTAACCATGGCTGCATTCCTTTCAAACATTTTCAGACTTACTTTATCCAGATACCAAATGCTTTCCCCACCTTGGTGACTGCCTCAGCAACAAAACACAAGAGCAAAGTCTCTCCTTACAAGCAGTACAGCTGCCCCCTTCAGCACTTGGACTTGGCAATTTACACTACCTGAGGACCTTGAGTTCCACAAAAATTAGTAATTGTTTCTTCATGCTAAATTTTCACAACTATCTGATGTAATAGATTAGAGTTTATCACATCAGAGCCTTGGCAGAGATTTTGTTACTGTATTTAGTATGAGACCATACCAAAAACCTTTTGCTATGACAAATTTAAACCAGAACATAATCTTTTTTGACACTCCTTAGCATACAAAACTTGGTATCAACCCCTATGGGAAGCAACTTTCTAAGAGAGTAAAAACTAAACTAAACTAAAGAGCAACTCAGAAGTTTCTCTTCTGAGGAAGTGATAGCCTGGTTCACATTTTAACATGAAAAATATTACTATGAACTCATAACATTTCCTGCAAGTTCACCTCCTTATTCCAGCAAAGGAGATCAGTGGATGAATGTGCTTTGTAGGCTGGTCCAGTCTATCAAAGGAGCTAGAAAACAGTTCTTTTGTCCAAGGAAAGGATTCTGGTCAGAGCTTCACATTTTCTTCAAGGAATTTGAGGTGCCGAGCCTTCGCACTGTAACTGACGTACTTGTCTCCCATGTGCTCCCGCAGCTGCAGCTGTTAACACAGAAATAAACCCGCATTTACTGGCACTGAAAAAAAGCAGATGCTACCTAAATATTAACAGAGAAATACCAAAGCAGTCAGCTCAAAGAAGCATGTGAAGCTTGGCAATGTGGATGAGAGAGAAGAAAAATGAACACTATTGCTGTCTAAAAGCAAGAGACTTTCAAATCCCACCCAAAAATTTAAAATGTAAGATCTTCACAGGTTACATATCAAATACTGTCTAGGTAAGTGTAACCAAGTTTTGAATCAAAGGAGCTGAAGGTATTCCTTGTTCACCTCTATTGGGGATTGATGTTAAATTATTTCTTATTTTGGACATAAGGAGCATAAGGAAAGTAATGTGAAGGCAAACATTTGAGAGACAGAAGAAATTATTACTGGAGAAACAGCATAAAATTATTAACAGAATAAAATTATTTGCATGCCTCACACCTTCCCACAATTCCAAAGCTCTGATGGTTTCTGAGGAAGTTGGGAGTTGAATGTAGTCTACATCTAGAATCAAACTTAAGCATGAAAATTACAATATACTTAGGTCCTTGCCCACCCATGACTACATAAAGATCTTCTGGAATCAAGGTTTACCCTATCTCAATAGGATAAACAGCCTGCTCAATTATCTAGGTTTATACAGAAATTAAACTATTTTATCATGGAAGACATTCACCTCTCTTTTCACTTCATCATCTTCTTCCATGATTCTGTACACTTTCTCAAGAAGTTTCACTCCCAATCCTTGCACCACATCAGATCTCAGGATTTCAACCATTCTCCTAATCTTGAAAGGGACCAATGACATATCTATTAAAAATAAAATACAATTTAAAAAAATCAGTGCAGTAGTAATTACTTTCAGTACAGACAATTTTCATATTCTGCAGAAGAATATGGGACAACTCTAAGTATTACCACAGAATCCCAGAGAAACAGACCTGAAGGAATCTCTTCCATTTTTAATTCCTCTGATTCATCAGGTGATTTTCCATGCAAAATCAAAGTATCTCGATACTTTCTATGAAGTTTAAACTCCGGGGCTGGGGTCGAGGTTACACAGCACTCAGAGTTCTCCTTGGAGTCCATTTTCAGTGTCCATGTCATCAGCTGCACCAAGTCATTCATTTCATTCATACTTTTCCTAGGAGAGAAGGAATAAATAATTCAGTCATCATCATAATGCAACTTCCACCCGCATTCCAGAGCTTTCAATGAGTTTATTCAGGTCCTAATAAGTATTCCATGTTAAATTCCTAGTTGTGGTGCAGTTTTATCAATAGCAACATCAGTACTATTTCATTTAACAAAGGCTCAGAGCCCAGCAAAAACCCCACAATCCTACTGGCTACTGCTGACTCTGGTAATGCAGCAAATTGCATCCTTTGAAAGCTGCTTACACTGACAAAAATCAGAGATAAATTCAGCCTCATTTACAGTGGAAAGGATGCACATTGGCACCTCTTAACTTGTGCTTTTAATGCATCCTGACAGCAGATGCCCTTTGGTGCTGGAAGATTGTTTTCTGGGAAGCTGCAGTTCACAAAACCTTCATACACAATCCCATGGCCCAGAAAGTTCAGCATGGGAAGTGTAGAGTTACAGAGAGACAAGAATCAGTGGGGCTGTTTTCCTCTATGCATCACATACTTCTTCAATCACTCACTATGCACAGCTAAAGTGTGAAAGCCCTTTTATTTCCACTCCAAGTCAAAGTCCAGTACAGCAGTGAAAATTCTTGCACAGTATTAAACAGAATCCTTACTTCTCCTTGGAATCACCATCAGACTTGTCTGTAGAGCTTGTGGAAGAGCTTAGCTCATCATCAGACAGGCAATGGGCTTCTCTCTTTCTCTAAGGGAGGAGGGAATAAATAACAAGAATTCTAATAATTCTGAAAGTAATTCAGCAATATGGCATATATTACTGTTCAAATACTTTTGACAAAGTTTACCTGAGAAATACTGGGATCTAAAGAGGACTGAGGAACTTTAACACAATTTTCCACATGTGACTTTGCTTCAACTGCTGCACCATTTGATGACTGTCTCACTGGAACCCCTGGATGGATGACATTTTGACAAGATTTACAACTAAGCTGTGTGTATTCTGAATTAGTTTCATGCTCATGCAAGAAAAAAAATCTATCACCTAGCAGAAGGCAGGCAGGGAGGTAAGTATTTTGCTAATAGAAAACATTGAAACTTCTGTTTGAAAGTGAATATTACATTTTACGTACATTTCAAAGACAAGTTGTCAACACAGAACACAACTGACATAACTAAAAAGCAGAAAAATACAGACATGTTAACAGAACTTTTTAATTAACACAGAACTAGCCCCTTAGTGCACTGTTCTGAAGATGGCAGTGAAGAACAGACAAGAAGTTATAATTTCTTCAGGAAAAAGTTATTTAAAATAACATAAACTGTTCACATATAAACATAAAAATTACCAGAGGGAAGCATCTCCCGAGACTGTTTCAGCCTCCTCCGTTCTCTTGCTGACAAGGGCCGCTCCTTCAAAGGAAGTTAATTTGATCTTAATTTGCAATCACCACCATGGCTTTTGTTTCCTAATCACCTATTAAGCAAAAAATCCTTTTCAAGGGTTCAAAGAGTGGGAGCTATTATTTAATGCTTAATTATTTATTACAGAATTGTCTTCAATGAGACCAATCTGAACTCTAGTAAAGGGGCTTCTGACCTCCTAGGCTCAGCAAGGCTCATCCCACACTGAGCAGGGCTTCCAAGAGGCAGGAACCTACCCAACATTTCTTTACTCACTGTGCACACACACAGAACAAACTGCTCAGAAGGATTGAGACAAAAGCCAGACAGTTTTCATCACTAACCTTTGGAATGGCTGCTTGGCTGGGTTTGGCACTCTCTGCAGGCTCAGGGTGCTCTGCACCCCTCTGGGCTGTCTTTGGGGTCACATCAGAAGGAACAGGTAGAGGCCGAGGAGAAACTGCTCTGAACTTGACAGAAAAGTGAGCAAGAATTTTTTTTTTAATTGAAAGTTTAAGTATCCTGCAATCTAGAAGACATTCTTGCATGGTAAAGCTGGATGTCAGAATTTTGAATCCTATTGGCTTGATCCTTCCCTTTCCCCATCTCTGCTTGCATCTGTTTCCCTTCTTTCCATCCCTACATCTTATCCCCCTCCTCCCAGACTATTTTTCAGCCAATGCCTTTGCAACAACTGTCCCCACCCTCAAACAGCAAAACCCAAAGAGAAAACCAGGTTATCAATGACCAATCACCCTCTTCCATAGCCTTGTGCCTTTCCCCAAAGAAACCTCCCTGCTCAGGGTGGAGGAACTGACAGGAGCTCTATCCTGTCTGCAGGCCAAGATTTTCCTCCTACAGTTTGCACTCAGAAGCTCAGGGCAGCCATTACACATCTGTTCTAAAGCACTACTAAGCCACTACCCACCACAAGTAGCCTTATCCACAAAGGTACTGACTTGTAGTCAGAAGTCCTGATGGAATTTCCTAGCAAACATTGCAACCCAGTAAAGGCACAGCCCATCTGGCACACCCACCTCATCCCTGAAAGGTACTGGGGATTTTCAAAGATTTACTCAGGCTGCTTCTAACAGTCACCTTCAGTGATCTGAAGTCATACAGACACACATGAAACAAGAACAGCATTAAAACACCCACCCTTTTTTAGAAAATAGGTCCCACGTTTAAAGAGGAAAAACACAGGAGTCTTAAAGGAGAGAGGAGAAGTATTTTTCAAGTATCTGCACCTTCTCTGAGCAGCCTTCAGCAAGCTCTCTCTTCTGCTGCTGCTGCCATGGGAGAGAGGGTTCACTGACAGAGCTGTGAGGCTGCTTGTGCAAGGTCATTTTTCCCTGAGCATCTCCTGAAGCTCCATGACTGACATCCTAAGAAGTAAAAGCATTTTTTAAAAAATGCAGACCTGTCATTTCCAGATTTACACATACACACTTAAAAAATAATCAAAACAGGCCCCTTTACTATTTGGATTGCAACCACCTTAACATAGCACAGGTACAAGCACAATAAATTCTTATTTGAGAGATAAAATACCAGCATCTTTAGCTACTAAACCTTCAAAGAAGGTCACTTACTTGAATTATAACAGGAACAAAGGGTGCCAGCAGCTTTTCAGTGGAATCCAAGCTCTACAACAAATGATTTCTCATTAAAAATCTCATGGTAGACCAAAATGCAGTGAAAAGACAATCACCACCAATTAGCCCCCTGATCCAAATCAAAATTATTCAGGCCTATTTACAACATAGAACAAAAGTTACAAAACTATTCTTACTCTCTCTGTTCACAGCTGGGAATGCAAATTTTTTCCCTGTAAAAACAGAATTCCAATCATCTAGATAGATACAATCCCAAAACTACTTTACCATATTGCCTTTGCAAATCTGACCCCAAGGCTCCTAACAACTTAAGAATCTCAATAATTGCATCAGCAACATCCTACTTTGACAGAAAAACGTGCAGCAGCTCTCTAAATTGTAAGAGCTGGCCACTGGTTAAATCTACTTCAAATAAGCATAAATGCATTACCAGGTCAGTTTGCTTTTGGTCTTTTGATACAGGCTGCAGGAGTTTCAAAGTGTCATCCTCATCTTCTACAGAATCAACAGAAGATGGCTTTGATTCAACACTTTCAGCTTTAAAAGCCTGTCTTGCTCTTTGCTGCTGTCCATTTTCCTTAATTGGTGGGTTATTAGATGTTATTTTAGAATGGCCTGGACCATGTAAATGCTTTGCTTTATTATTCTCTGGAATACTCTCACTGCCACCCTTGTCACTGCCATGCTTCATCCTTTCAGACAGGGGGACATCAATGTTCACTCCACTGACTGTAGCTATGGAGTCTCCCAAGCTGTTCAGATCATTTTTGCTTGGTTTTCTTTCCAACTCAACAGCTGGTTTCTCTGAGGGATAAAATTTGCTGGCTTTACATTTGCTGATGCAATCTTCTTCATCCTAGGATTAGAAGAAAAACAGAAAAGTCATCTTTTGCATTTTACACACATATGAAAGAATTCTCTAAGCACTAAAGAAAATCAAGAACATACCAGGGCACATAAACTTAAAGGAAATTATGATCAATAACAAATTAAGAGCACCAAAAAAGTCAAAATCCGCATTTTTAAAGAGATACAGATTTGCAAATGGCCAATTTCAGGTACTGGTTTATACACATAGAATACACCTACTTTCCACCAGGACCATGAAAGCAAAGTTGTACTCACTTGGCTCTTCCCTAAGGGAGGAAAAAGCACCAAGAGTTTTTAGGATGTGCTCCACCACATATATTCAGGATTTCAACATTGAAAGCTCAAACCCAGAACAGAAGACTTTTTACAGAAAACAAAAAGCATGCACAAGATTAACCATTACAAAAGGTTTGTTGTAACCACTGGAAAAAAATTAAACAATAAAGAATTTTGGTTGTGACTATAAATAGTTTTTAAATATGTTTTTGACTGGAAAAAACTATTACCACTTGTCATGAGATATTGAAAAATTATTTGACCCCAAATACTTCCAAGAGTAATTCACATAAAACCAGGTGTTGTTTAGTTGACATCTTACAGGTCCTGCAATTAGCTTCACTGATCCACAGGTGTTTAATTACTTCCACTCTTATCTAAAAGCATTTCCTTCCCTAATATGAATTTTACACATTGCTGGGATTCAGATCTAATGTTCTCAGGGATGCTCAAGGCACTTGTTATAAAACTGAGGCTTTTATCTAGAAAAAGCAAGAAGGATTTGGGTTTTGTTGGCTTTTTTTTTAAGGTAAAAACCCCCCATATCTTACAACTTTGTATTTTCTGGCTTGCTCAGAGGAGTGGTTTTGGTGTGGAACATTCCTGCTGTGAGATTCATTCTTTGCTGAGATGACAGAACAAGGGTCTTTAGGTTTAGAATCCACTGTTTTCTTATGATTCCTAGCAGCTTTCCTGTGAAGAAAATGAAAGTTACTCATTCATTAACTATCAACAAGATTTTAAAATATTTCTTTTGATTATACTAATTAAAAAAAAAAATCCACTCCACTAAAGAGTTTTCATACAAAGAGTATCAGATACTGGGATTTTTCAATAGACTGTGCACAACAACCTCATTTTCAATTCCAGAAAAGGATCATAAAAACCCAATTCAGATTCTGCCAGCAATATACACCTTTCTGCAGAGCACCAAGGTCAGTTCTATCTGGAAGCTGTAAAATAACTGACTAAACCTGACAAAGAAAAATAATTATATCAGTGTATATCAAAAGGAACTTGGTTTTTCAACACCCAGATGATAAATGGCCTCAAGAATCACATAGAAAGGTGTGTGCTTTCTACCAATTCTATATTTTTAAGCACTACAGAGTTTTATTCTGCATTTACAGAAAAAAATATTTTCCACTCTAATTCCCTCATATTTCTCAAAGAATTCAAAGAAACTGATGTTCATATGCTTTGTAGCTGCCCATGACAAAACTTACTTTATCCTCCTACAAAACCCAGGGAAAGCTGTAAAAAACAGACAACAGCAGCATGAATATTTTGCACAGAATCACTCATGTGAAAATGTCTTACGCCTTTGTGGCTTCCAAAAACAAAGCAATCTGCTGTTTGATGTATGGTTGTCTCAGGATGCTTTTCACACTTGGTCTCTCCTCAGGTTTTTTACTGAGCATAGTTTGTATTATTGCTACCAGCTGTGGGCTGTAATCCTTTGGCATGGGTGGCAGCTGTGAAAGGAAAGGGAAGCCTGATATTATTTAATATACTCATCAACAGGGGCTACTTCTAGAACATTTATGTGTGATCATTATGGTCAGATACATAAAAAAATATGTATAAAAAACAGATTTATTGTTCAAATGCTGCAAGTTACCCAATTGCCTAATGTTAAACAAAATATTGAAATTCCAAGTGTGTGAAGAAGAACTGTTCCTAATTTTATTAATATGACCAGTAAAAGTTCTGTAAATAGGCTTAAAATTTCTATAAAATAAATCCACATTCACTTCATTGTATGCCAAAGCAAGAGGACACTTAAATAAGCTAATCTTACATAACAGGAAAATGCCATCACACAGTAATTTAATTTTTATGGAATGTTTATGCAAAACCAGAAGCAAATTAATAAAGTAATCTCAGAACTTTGAAAATTACTCAGTATATTCATTAACTTAAGAGGTAACAAGAAACTTTAGCCATACCTACAAAGGAATAACTCCCTTGATCTGGTATCACATCATCCACCACCACAAAACAAAAGTCTTACATATGATGGTGTACATTACATGCAAGTTTTTTTTAACTCCATGCAATATTTCTGATTAGAAAAGATCATCTCAATTTCTAGATAGGAAACCCAAGCACCTATAAAATTTCAGGAGATTTTACCTTCCCTTCAATGATTCGATAAGCCAAGGAGTTCATGTCCTTGGCATTGAAGGCATGTTTCAGTGTGGCCATCTCATAAACACAGCAGCCCAAGGCCCAGACATCAGACTGAAAAAAGGGGAAGAGAAAATGTTTGGGAACTTCTTAGTAATTGTACAAGTTTTATCTTTGGACCTAGTTACCTGCTTTCAAAGAGGCTTTTAGTGGCACTAAGTTAATTAAGTCCAAATTCCATTGCAAACTTCTGGCTTCAGTCTCACTCTTCTATTTTTAATGTTGATCAAGTCAACTATTTCCTTAAAAATATCCCAAATTTTTTCCAAAAGGAAGTGTAGAAATTAGCCATCTTTGGGGGAAATGTTGCTTGTTTCCTTTTTTTAGTAAAATATCCATCCTAACTGTAAATGAAAAATCTTCGTTTTTCATTGGAAGAAGTTTCCCCTCAGTTCTTGCTCACTACAGACACTCATATTTATGGTGTGTTTACAGCAAGTGCTGAACTTGTTTGCTATGTTCTGTTGTATTTTAAATTCACAATAACACAGCTTATTCCTCTCATTAAAATTTCCTTTTTTTTTTTTTTTAATGCTGCTGTTATTTCTAATAGAGCTTTTGAGTGTAAATCTTCCTGTCTGGTATATAATAAATTCAGAAAGCGCATCTCTAACACAGGCTGATATTTCTGTTCCCATTCTCTGTCTCTCCAGCTGTGAGAGGTACAGGCAGCCTGCTGAACACCTTGGTTGGGATAACTTAACACGTGCTCTGAATTCCTAAACACAGTTCAAGAACTAAACATTCCTACAAATCTCTCTCCCATTTTTTTGTTTGGTATTTGGGAAGATGAAAAAGACTTGGAAGCAATAAGAAATCAAAATACACAGGTAATGATTTCAGACAAATAAAGTAAGGCTCCTAAGAAAATAGAAATGGCATTGTTATACTGTACCTTGTAGTTGTAGGGTTTGTTAGAGAAGAGTTCAGGGCTCATGTAGTACGGGGTGCCTATGAGAGTGCTGGCCATGTCATACTGGTTTTCCAACACCCTGGCTATTCCCAGGTCTCCCACTTTGATTATATTTGTTCGTGTCAGGAAAATATTCTGAGTTTTAAGATCTCTGTGCAGAATGTGCTTTTCATGTAAATACTACGAGGAAAAAAATCATATAAATAAGGTTAATCAACTTTTAACTGTAAAATCTCATTATACAAGTCAAAGAAAGAAAACACAAAAGCAGAAGAAACACAGACAGAAATCCCTCTCAAGGTCAGGAGTGACCTGCTAAGACAATAGTGGTGAAGTAACATTAAAAGTGACTGATACAGGCAGGGGCCCAAAACTTGGCACTGCTTTAACCAAATCTCCCTGTGTGGCCTTTATAAATCAGCAGAAAAGGAAAAATAAAAATGTAAAGTTAAGACTGTAACTCACTTTCTGCTGTTTTCATTTCTTGACAATCTTAGTCCAAAAAATTTCAGGGGAAATTATAATGTGAGCTTTGTGTAAATAGGGAAGAAAATTAGTCATAATAAACAAAAAGCAGTACCCATAATTAGTCTATTTTTGATCATGACAGCAAACTTTAAGATAGAATTTTCTGTCCAATTTCTTATTCTTTAGTGTTAACATCTGGTCTTTATTGCTGTAACAATTGCCTTTAAAGTTTGCTAACCTCCAATTGCAAATTTAAAAGAGTAGCATAAGGCTTAATAGAAATGATGCATTGGTAGCTAAATTTACCACTAAAAACAGCAATAATAAGACTGAACACAAAATGCTTCTGAAAGAATATGGTTAGTTTTTTCCCCCAAAAACTCCATTTTGTAAATTTAATGTAAACTTTCAAACCAGAGAAGCATATCAGACAACAGTTGCAAACACCCCTGTCTATTGTGCTACAGAGGTGTGGACATAAAATATGTCAGCAATTTCTTACTTAAAATAGTTGATTTGACTGCAATGATCCATTTTTAATGTACTAACAACCATTATAATTAGGTGCTAACCCAGCCAAACAGGAATCCAAAGGCAGCAGCTTAGCTGGAATTTTTAAATACAAAAAAAGTCAAATTAAGCTTCTATCTGGCAGTGACAAAATTCCACTTCATTGTACCTGCAGTGCCATGGCAATCTGCACAAACCACTCCACCACCCGACTCTCAGGCAGGAGTTTTCCCTTCTGCTCCTTGAGCTTGTGGTAGAGGTCTCCTCCCTCGCAGAAGCCCATCACAATGTAGAGGTGGCCATCGTCCCCCTGCCAGGACTCTCTGTAGGTGACAATGTTGGGGTGTCTCAGCTGGGACAGCAGCTGGGCCTCCTGCTCTGCTGCTCTCCTCTCGCGGCTGGAAGCACTTCTGAGGTTTAACTTTTTGATGACATACTGTAAAAGACAAGGTAAAGTGTATGGTAAGAGATGAAAGTGACTCTGCAGAAGCCCTAGGGAGCTCCCCAGACCTAAAGGAAATGCAGTATTTGAAATATCCACTGATTCATCTACATAGAGGCTGCAGTTTGGATGAAAGTTATCCAGAATTTCTTCTCTTCTACCTTTTCACCATAAAAATGGAACAGGTGTGTTCCATTCATCCACCTCAATACAACTCTTCTCAGGAATTTTGTGGTGTTTTGCTTTCTTCTAACTAATGTTCACATTTCTCTTTTTCTCCCCACTCCACTTTAAATGTGTGTCTGTCACTCATCTTTTAAGCCTGAAGTACCTGTTTGTGCACCACAGTTACTCTCAAAAAGGCCACATCAATAGTATGCAGAGGTGTGCAAACAAATTATAAAAGTCATCTGAAACACACAAAATGTCTTATGCTCATTCCTAAATTTCTTTTATTCTTCATTAAGATGGGTCAAGAATTTCTCAAAGCTACATACAAAAGTTGTCATCTACTTCCTTAATATGTGCTACATTTTATGTAATTCTGAGGAATTTCAGGTTTCAGCAAAAACATTAATGAAGTTGAAGATGAGACAATAAAATCCATAGAACACTTTCATCACCCACAACATCAATATTTAGGTCTGACCTGGCCCTAATCCTGATGAAAATTTTGTAGGACACCACTTTAGGGCATCAGCTTTCCACAGAACAATCATGTCATGGTTACACTTGAACCTGCTCTTATCAGAGAGATTGTAAATCAAAACTTTTAAATATTTTTACTTGCTGAATTTTAGCATCCTCAGAGATGCTTCAGTGTCTGCTCTCCAGGCTGCATCTATTAATTAGCCCAGCACATTTAATTAGCGCTGAGGAGATGGCCCTCTATACCAAGGGAACCAATTACCCAGGAAACCCACAGCACATCATGACTTTGTGTTTCAGATAGAACCTGTGATGCTGCAAAGCTTCCAGGAGTGTGTAATTGTGTACAGCATCACTTAACTTCAAAATAAAACAGAAATGCTGCAAATACTGTGGTCTGTATGACAAGTCAACTACAACTTTGGGCATGGAAATCGTTTAAGCTTATATCAGCAGCTTTTAGAAAATATACACCAAAATGCAAAAGGAATATATATTAGCCTTACTTTAAACTTGGCATTGATTATATTTAGTTTAATGAGCATGTTTTCCCGGCAAGATTCTCTGCTGAAGTCTATTGCAATGCTCTTCCACCTTATTTGATACCAAATTGTGTATGAATTCCAATTAGGTTTGTTTTAAACACTTAAAGCTACTTGACCTTCTCCACAAAAATCCAGCATTCAGTTAATAGCAAATATGGTTAAATAAGACACAATTTCTTTCACAGAAAATGTGGCACTGTGACAAAACGCCATCAAAAAATCCTGATCATCATTCTAGAGAAGAAAGTTTGTACAAGTTGGCAAAAGATAAAACAGCAAAGCACTCCAAATATTTATCATGCAACTACAAACAGGAAGAAAGGCTAGTTTTAATGATCAGCAGCACCACAATGAAATCCAAGGACCTGTATCCGAGTGAAAGTGACCTCCATGCACTGTTTACTTTTGGGGTGAGGTGGGGTTAGGATCTCTTTGAGGACATTGGACTGTGCACGTGGTGGTGGCCTGGAGGGAACAAGTCCTTTCCTCACTGCTACCCAAGGGTCACAGGGATTCACCTCGGGATTCCAGGCAGGGAACAAGTGCCCTTGTCCGGGAAGGACACACCTCTGCTCCCTGCTGGGCACAACCCTCCTCCAGCATCTCCAGTAAAAGCCCGGCCATAAACTCACACAGCAGTTCCTGTGGCACTGCTCTCTGAATGTTCTCCGTCCCCATTCCTCTGCCCTCTCGCATTCCCTATCGAACACCTCTGCTTTGGCCAGACTAGACAGATTATTCCAGTTCTCCAACAAAAATGCTTGTGCTTCTACTCTGACATAACCAAAACCTTCCCGGGAAGAGTCTTCTCCACAGCTTTAATAAAAGTTCTTTTAGACAAAGGAAGATAACAGAAACAGCAGCTCGGGTGGCTGCAGCCCTACCCCAACACCTGGTGATTGTCACAGCTCCACTCAGACACCAGATAATGGTCACAAAAACACCCTGACACCTGGTGATGGTCACAGCTCCACTCAGACACCAGATAATGGTCACAAAAAAACCCTGACACCTGGTGACTGTCACAGCCCCAGTCTGACACCAGCCCCACCTGCACCCCGACACGATGCCACGTCCCTGGTCGTGCCCAGGGTGGGTCAGGACCAGCAGCCACAGCCGAGCC